TAATAGGAAAATACCATAATACTTTCGCTGGAGATAATTTTTTCTTATATCGAGATAAACCGCACTTTGGGCACTCATTCAATGATGCATATTCGTTTCGAAACAAAATACAATCATTTAGACATGCATGTATCTTATCATAGCTCATGCCAATAGAGCACACCATTTTTTTGGCCTCGTAGGTTCGATTAGGAAGAACATTATCCTCAGGAAGCATATCTCTCAAAAGGGCTAATAACTGTGTGAAACATTTATCGGAACATCCATTGCACGCCTTTAAGTTGTACAATTTTAATACCGCAGACAATCTTGTGAATTTGGGGCAATCTTTATACAACGGTTTCTCCGCATCGCTTACCAACCTCTCAAACATTTTGGGACAATCTTGAAGATCTTCTTCAAGTGCTTCTGCAATCTCTTCAACTTGATCACAATCATATGTATCCGTGGCATTGTCGTACGAAACATAGGTCGCATTACTTTTCACCCCCGGTTCAACATTCTCGATGCTTTTCTCACCATGAAATATCCAACACATATAACTTCGATCAATTCTGCGCATTAGTAAATGCAATTTCAATCCATCTGCGTCAACCCGACCCACATAACAACAACCCAAGCAAGGACATTTCATTCTATTCGGGTCTTCAGCGTGTTCAACAGCAAACTTAACAAACTCTAATACCCCATTCTCGTACTCTTTTGACAATCGATCGGCACACATCCATTTTTCATCCATGGTTTTAACTATTATCTAAGTTAAACAAAAACACTAATTAGGGCACAAAACGGTATAATGCGTTTCTGCCAAAACACAAAGTATACACGAATTTTATTATTCAAGTGAATATGTCATTGTTACGTGAACCTCTTGTGTTGATTATTACTAACTTGGATTATAAGCAATGTGGTGGGAGTACAATGAATTTAAAGAGTGTGTGTTGTCAACAAAAATCAAACATGTGATTAGAACAATTCTAGAAATGAGGATTGTAACGTGTGAGTGAAAGGAGCATAGCCACGAATGTGGTCCAACCTTAGAGGCCTAGTTCATGTTACTGTTGTGGTCCTATAACATATTCAATCAATGATCATCAACGTTACAATTTTAGAGACATTAGCTTAGTTGTGAACTCATTCGAAGATTCATGATTTGTGTTATTTTTTACTATTACTAAGTTGAATACTAGATTGAACAAACGGAAACCTATGATCCAAACTCAAGTAAACCGGAAAAAGTCCTCTCGCCGCGAGAAACTCATTGAAAGGACCATTAACATTAAGAGTACTAGTAATCACGGTAACATTCCTCTCAGACATAACCGCCGCAAAAGACCCCGAACCAATTCCAATATCAAAACCTATTCTAATCCCACCATTTCCTAATTGCAAAACATCATCAACAAGAAAATCATTCTTACTCTTAGACTTAACAAATATTTGATTCTCATATCCATTAACCAAATCAAAGCAATGAACATAATCTCTATTCAGTTTTCTACCATTCAAACACTCGAAACTCTTGCAGTTAAAACCATTCCAATTCACTGTTTTATTACTAACAGGCTTCCATAGTGAAACCAGAAAAGGATGAAGAAATTTTACCTTAGATGAAACCGATTTTGCAAAACTTCTTCTTCTAGGTAAAGGCTCACACTGTTTTTGAATCAGTTTCTCTATCACGAGGAGATGGTGGTGTGCCTGATGTTGTAGGGCGCATCCAAACAAGTGTCTCTGCGGGTGAAACAGTAAAACTGAACCATTAGAATAATCCACATCAGATACTATAATCAAAAGCAAAAGACAAATTCTCGAATCCAAATGTTCCCATTAAATTTACCATACTTTGTATCACTTACATAAGATCTCATTTAAATGTCAAAGGGGATTTATTGTGTAATGAACTAACTAACTCGATCAATAAATAACAGTCAGTACCGCAGTATGAAGAGCAAACGTTACCTGTATTCAGTTTCCTACCATTCACTTATTCCTATATTCAATGGGACAAACTTGCTCCAATCTCTTTATAACTGCAATCACAGGACAAAGTAGAGTTAAGTAAAGTTATCTTGAGTTACAAATTCTTAGGGTAATATGTTCCACATCAATACAAATAATTTTCTAGAACATGAACTTGATATCACTTTGGCAGAAGCCTAAAGTTCAACATAATACAAATAATTTTTTCTTTACTGTTCCTTCTACTTTTCTGGTACATATTAACTGCCATACGTGGAGGAACAAGCGAAGTAATCAACAGATAAAAGGAGCATTAATTGGTGCACTATTTTACCAGCTTTATCAATACATAAATACATAGAATGAGTTGGTTTGGTAGCTGTAAAACTAAATTAATACTTAGTGGGTTCATTTGGTTTTCTATAATCCTCCAAAGTTTGTGGGACATTATGATGTCATGAGGGACCTACCCTATAGGGAATGAAAGTGAAAATAACTGTAATGGATTCTTGATAGAATTACCTACTAGAATCACTAAACAACCTGGGCAGAGTGTATTAAAGTCGAAAAGGAATGGATTCTTTGATTCTCATATCCATTTACCTTAGATGAAACTGATTTTGTGAAACTTCTTCTTCACGAGGAGATGGTGGTGTGCCTGATGTTGTAAGCCGTTTCCCAACAACAGCTTTTTGGACTCTCACGTGCCTCTGGCCCTTGCCCTCGTATAATCGGAGAATCCGAAGTTTGCAACGAGACAACAAATCAGAAGCTTTCTAGCATGAACCACGGTTGGACGATGAGGAGGGAGGAGATGAGTTGGAGAAGAAGATGAACATGAGCGTTTTCTGGGTGTGTGGGGTTTCGTTTGTATAAAGTGGGGTTTTTGAAATTTGATAACCAATTTAGGGATTTAGAAACTATTTAATTACCTTAGACGGCGCTTTCAAGAAGCGCTGCTAAAGGTATTACCTTTAGCAGCGCTTTAGGCTTTAGCAACGCTTTAGAGTAATGCCTTTAGCAGCGCTTCTTGAAAGCGCTGTCTAAGGTATACCCTTTAGCAGCGCTTTAGGCTTTAGCAATGCTTCCTAGAATAACACCTTTAGCAGCGCTTTTAGTAAGCGCTGTATAAAGTATAACCTCTAGTAGCGCTTATTCTTATTTTTTTTATTTTTTTTTACTGAAAACCTATAGCAGCGCTTAGGGAAAGGAAGCGCTGTCTATGGTAAGGCCTATAGCAGCGCTTATAATAAGCGCTGTCTATAGTATACCTTTAGCAGCGCTTACTCTAATTTTTTAATTTTTTTTACTGAAAACCTATAGCAGCGCTTAGGGCACAAGCGTTGTCTATGTGGCACTGTCTAAATTCAATTTTGGCATAGTGCGTCCTCTGATCTGCACCACAGTTTTGGCCGAATCCAACGTGAGAAGGTCTTCTTGCTTCGGTGATGCCTCCCTGATCTCACCGGTCACAAGAATTGGTGACGACGACAAATTAGGTCGTTCAGAGGAATGCTCTAGGTCAAAGTTGAGATTTATTTTATCCATCGAAGAATACTGTTTAAGTGATCTAGATTTGGATCAAGCAGAATCTAATTGTAAGATTTCACAAAAATCGATAGTCGATTCCCACGATGCCAATGTTACCAATCAAAACCAAAATTATGCTTGAATTGTGATGTTGAACTCTTGATATGATAGACTACATGGATAAACCTATAATATTAACACTTCAACATACATCTCAGTGAATGACTCCAAAAAAAAGAATTAAATATATATATATATATATATATATATATATATATATATATATATATATATATATATATATATATATATATATATATATATATATATATATATATATATATATATATATATATATATATATATACCTTAAATCTTGCGGATATAAAAACATATATATTTTTATATCAAATAACATTTAAAGTTTTCTTTGAGATAATAGATGAGCCTTCTTTATTGAACATTTGCCGACCTAGAATAATAATATATTATTTACTTTTTATACTTTTTAAAAAACACTTAATTTAATTTTCTATACTATTTTATATGTTTTAACTACAATTGTTAAATTTCTTTTTTTTTTATAAATATTTTTAATATATTATAAATAGTGTTTTTATGTCAAATTTATAATTTTAATCTTTATTAATTAAAATTTTTATAATTATAAATTAAATACTCAAAATTTAATTAAATTATTATTTTTTAAAAATAAATCATCAAAATCAAATCCAATTATACTTATCTCTAGATTGTATAATTTAATTTTTAAATTTGATCAAAATACCGCATCACTCACTTATATTAACTTCGTAGTATACACTAAATCAGTACTAGAGTCTATAATGGTGGTGATGTCTGTCTGTCTTTGTCGGTTTCTACAGAAAAATACGGATTCAAACCAATACAAAGACTCACCGCGCTAAACGACAAACTCCCCATATTAATCACTCGTCCTTTCTTCACTGTACCTTTTGCCTCGACAAGTGGAGCTTACAAATTTAGACACGACAACCCTTCCATTTCTCTCCCACGACCCAGTCATAAAAATTAACCATTTCATTAACACTACTCCTAATTAAGACGCGTGAACTTAAACAGGGTTTAGTGAGAAAAGGTATTGTTTGTCAACGGGTTTTTGGATTCTAAACATTATAGAGAGAAAGAGAGAGAAGAAGCATTATTGGAGTTGTGGTAGTTGGTGTGGGTAAATGAGCGTAACGAGGTAACGTAAAATAAATAAATGAAATAAATATATAAAAAATGAAATAAATAAAAACCTTAGCAGGTTGACCGGTGGATATAGATAAAGATAAAGAGAAAAACAAAACAAAACAAAAGCTCAGAAGCAAAAAAAAAAAAAGAAAAAGAAAAAAGAAAATAGAAACCCTAAAAAAATCAAAAAGTTCCTGTGAGATTGTGTTGTTAATGCATCTAAGATTTTTCCCTCTTTGTACAAAGATTGTTGTTCAAGCTTTTCACCTATAGCTAGGTTTAGTTTAGTTCAGATGGTTGATTTAGACAATGTTTCTACACCTTCAGGAGAAGCTGAAGCTAGCATCTCTTCCTCTGGTAACAATAACAACCAAACAACCCCTCCAAAACCCACTAAGAAAAAACGAAACCTCCCCGGAATGCCAGGTGAAAATAAATCCGCTATTATATGTATATTTTTTCAGGAATTAATATTATTTTTGGATTATGATTTTTGTGATATATATATATTTTTTGATGGTTGAAGATCCGGAAGCAGAGGTGATAGCTTTGTCTCCGACTACTCTGTTAGCGACGAATAGATTTGTGTGTGAAATATGTAACAAAGGTTTTCAGAGGGATCAGAATCTTCAACTTCATAGGAGAGGTCATAATCTGCCGTGGAAACTGAGGCAGAGGTCGAGTAAGGAAGTTAGGAAGAGGGTTTATGTGTGTCCTGAGCCGACTTGTGTTCATCATGATCCTTCTAGAGCTTTGGGCGATCTAACGGGGATTAAAAAGCACTTCTGTAGAAAACACGGTGAGAAGAAGTGGAAATGCGATAAGTGTTCGAAGAAATATGCTGTTCAATCGGATTGGAAAGCGCACTCGAAAGTTTGTGGTTCTAGAGAGTATAAATGCGATTGTGGAACCGTTTTTTCCAGGTTCTTTTTGGTTTTTTATTTTTTTATTTGATTTTCGGAATCTGTTTTTATATTTTTTAATTTGTTTTTGAAATTTTGTTTATTTTGTTTTGATTTTGAAGGAGGGATAGTTTCATAACGCATAGAGCTTTTTGTGACGCGTTGGCAGAGGAAAATGCGAAATCTCAGACTCAACCGGTTGTGAAAGCTAGTTCAGAATCTGATTCAAAGGTTTTGACCGGAGATTCATTGCCTCAACCACCGCCGCCGCTTCCGTTGCCGCCTGTGGTGACTAGTACTACCACGGTGGTTACAACTCCTCAGTCAAATAGTGGTGTGTCCTCTGCTTTGGAGACTCAGAAGCTAGGTAAACATTTTTATTGAATCAGGAAAAAAGTGTTGTTTTTTTTGTCTTGTTTGATGTGGTTAAAACTTGATAACAAATTCAAAGTTTTGTTTTTTTGGTGGTGGTGTTGTTTGTATATGTGATCTTGGTGTTTAGTATTTTTTGTCTGCTATTGTTTTTGTTGTGACTTGTGTTAGTGAGAACAGTTTTTGTTGTGACTTGTGTTAGTGAGAACAAGATCAAGTGATCTGAGATTCGGGAATGCTAATTAAGTAATGAAAATTAATCACTTAAAAAGGTGTTTTTGAGATTGTTTGATAGAACATTGTGTATTGGTTGACAAAAAAAACTACAAAGATCTCAAAAGCAAAAAAGAAAGAAGATTTGTTTTCAAGAGTAGAAAAAACTATTGTTTTTGTTCTTCACTTTGCACTTTAGTTTAACATAAAAGAAAGGAACCAACTTTCCCTGTCCATGTGTTATGAATGGCTGGCTGCTTTTGTTCATTCTTTTTCGTATTAGTTGATAATTATAATTTAAAATAACACTATTGCTCTGTTCATGCTTTGTTTGCTTTGCTTTTTTTAGACTATATTTTGGTTTGTGCAGATTTACCAGAAAATCCGCCTCAGATCGTAGAGGAGACACAACCACAACCACAGCCGGTTGTCGTTGCTACTACTACTTTAAATGTGAGTGGTAGTAGCAGCAGTACTAGCTCAACCGGCAATGGTCATCCTGCTTCTAGCAGTGGTGTGTTTGCAAGTTTGTTTGCATCTTCCACAGCGTCAACTTCTGCAAGTCTACAATCTCAAACACCAGCCTTCACTGATTTAATTAGGTCCATGGGATGTCCAGATGCTCGCCCTACTGATTTCTCAACTCCTCCATCATCCGAGGCCATATCCCTTTGCCTCTCTACCAATCACGGATCATCCATTTTCGGAACAGGAGGCCAGGAGTGCCGCCAGTATGTGCCTACACATCAGCCGCCTGCTATGTCAGCCACTGCATTACTTCAGAAAGCTGCTCAAATGGGCGCTGCAGCAACAAATGCCTCTTTGCTTCGCGGGCTTGGAATCGTGTCGTCTTCCGCTTCCACTTCAACGGGTCAGCAAGATAGCCTTCATTGGGGTCTCGGACCAGTGGAACAGGAGAGTGCTGGTTTAGTCCATGCGGGACTTGGACTAGGCATTCCTTGTGACAGTGACTCTGGACTAAAGGAATTGATGTTGGGGACTCCATCGTTGTTTGGTCCTAAGCAAACAACTCTTGATTTTCTAGGATTGGGGATGGCTGCAGGTGGCAGCGCCGGTGGAGGCTTATCAGCACTTATCACATCAATCGGCGGCAGCAGCGGTTTAGACGTTACTACAGCAGCTGCATCTTTCGGTAACGGAGAATACTCCGGCAAAGATATTGGTAGAAGCTCCTGATATTTTAGCTGCAACAACAACTACTAAATTTTTGGCTGTAAAGTTACATTTGTCTATGAATATGAATATTCTGAAATTGCAATGCATATATTAGTATGCAACCAACAACTATGGATCAATGCAACCAGTAATATGCAAATGGGGTCTTTTTGAATTGTCTTGCCCCTCCCAAAAAAAATAAGACTATACATTTAAGGAAACGAAAATATGGCCTTAACAAAGGGCACAAGGTACAATATGCTTGGTTTGGACAACACAGGCTGTAAGAAATTTTAAGGGTATGTGCATCATTTGCATATGGTTGTCGTAGGTTTTAGCGACAGTGGGTCGTTTGAAGATCACGGTCTTGTTTTTGGTTTCTTGGACAGTTTTTGATCAAATCATGTATTGTTTCAGTTGGATGATTTGGTCCGTAGCTGTAGGTATAAATTAGGATGCTAGTAGTAGAGTTAGTAGTTTTCTTTGGATGTTGTTGGAATTATTGTCACAATGTGAATTTCCACTTTTGCCTATAGTTTTTGGCAGTTAATGCGTGATTGAATTTTAGTAAGTAATTAATGCTCTTCGTAAATGTTATAAATTGTAATTATTCTATATTCTTTACAAGACGGAAAATTCTCAAACTATTCCCACTCTAGGTATTGCTTTATTTAGTAGCCACGTTGCATTAGTAACCCAACCCGTTTGATAAGTAAAATTTTGAGATACTCCTTCTAGTCTCAATTATTATGAAATTCTCATTTCTTTTAAGTTAATTTTGCAAGAGAATTGGTTGTTACATTAAAGAATATTTTAAGAATGATAGCATTAAATAAAGTGAAAGTAGTTGAATTTTTTTTATATGTGAGATTATAGTAGTGTTTAACTATTTTATTCTACGGTTAACTCTGTTGATTTCTTTTTGGTTTAGCGAATTATTTTTTATTCACATAGTAAGCTGATTAATTTGATAATATCAATTCCAATCTATAAAATAAACGGACTAATCTGATCTCGTAGTTTTATGAATTGAATTACATATTATAAAAGAATATGTTAATAAAAACATTGATATTTCATTGATAATATGAAGAAATTAAAAAATAAATTAATATTTCATTAATATGAAGAGATCAATAATTTAACACAAGTGTTTCAAATGAAGCATGTAATATGAGAGAAAGATACTTCATTGACTTTGCATTTAATTTTTTTCATTATAAATGACAGTTGAAAGATTTTATTTGGATTTGTTTTATGCACAAGTATTTACACGAGTGCTATTTTTTACACAACTAGAGTGGAAATATACCATCTTGATTGATTAACGTTTATGTTCGAACTCAAGTCAAGTTAGACTTTTTTTTCTTCCTTCCTTTTAATAGACGAGGTTAGAGTTTAAAAAAAAAAATCATTTTTAAAAAATATTAGACTTCAACATATATAGAAAGCCATTTAAATCTACCGAGTCAAATTATTTAGTTAAATATGAATAAATTATTTTTATAATTCGTTATTTATGAAATTATATGAGTAGATTATGATCTTTGAACCACTAATTGTACTATAATAACATCTACTCATGAGAATATTTCATTGTATTAGCCTCCAGATGGGTATAGATTCAGGAGTGAATATCTTTAGGGTATGTGCTACAAAAAAAAAATCTTTTAGAATCATATTTTTTAGATTATTGCTCTTAGAAATAATATTTCCACGATAAGAAATAAAATTTTAACAATATTTCCATATTTATTTAATTTAAAAATTATAAAAAATAAAAATAAAAATTGTTCTAGACTAACTCGACAGTTAGAATGGGTCCAGTCTAAGACATTTACTTTGGAACGGTCCGCACGACCATGATCCTGATTGCCCGCTACCTGTCGGGAAATGTCAGCTGTTTGCTCTCCCGAACTAGCACTGACCCAGGGTGATCGACGATCATCCTCTCAGTCTGTCCGACATCAACGTCATGCATGCAACCAGGAACCGACCAGAGAGATGCCCGTAACTAACCCCCTCCTCGGGATCAACGACTAATTACGAGCACATCTCTCCGGTTTGACCAAGTATTGGAAGTTAACTGATTTTACGGACCCGCATATCCAGGCGTGAAATCAGAAACCAATGGCTACGCGCCAGGGGCATTATATATACCCTCACACCTGTGAGGGCCAGATATTCAATATTCACAACTCACTACCTAATATTTGCTTATACCTTCTTGTTCCCGCACTTACTTGATCATCAGAGTGCCTTGCAGGTACGACCCCCTTTTTTTCTCCTCGACTTCACAACCCGACTACAGATCATCTTCCGGCCATTACTTAAGTTCTGATCAACTGGTAAGATCAGTGGCGCCGACTGTGGGGATCTGCTCTCCCCATCTTTCTTTCCTCGAAATCAAAGATTAAAACAATTTTTTCAAGATTCTTCTCACCAATCATGGTCGACCATGATGATATTCACATGTCTGGAAAGACCATTCTTTCCCATGCTCACAAAATCGACGGGAGTCAAGAACATCCTCATCTCGAGGACAACCTCGGCTTCTGAGACGGACAGACCGTGTCTCCAGATTCCACTGACGCCCAACACGGCGACAACCAATTCTTAGACAAGGGACACTCCAAGAATCCTGCTGAGGAACTGCGAGAAGTCACGTAACCAGTTCCTATCCCTCTCAACACCGACCCGGCCATGGCAGTACTGCTCGCTGCTGTCAATCAGACCAACACCCTCATCCTGCAACAAAATCAAAGGATAAGGGCCTGGGAGAACAGGAAATCAAGATCTCCTCCTCGGAGAACCAGACGACGAAACTTCCCCAGTGTTTCGCCACTCCGGCGTGACCTGTAACGCCCCAGTATTTAATTATTTATTTAATTAAATATTTTTGAATATTTTTTTATTAATTCAAATTTTTATCGTCGAAGTCGGAATTATTTTATTAAGTTGGAATAATAATTAATCAAATTTAATTTGGTGGAATTAAGTTAAAGTGTTATTTTATTATTAAGCTTAAATATGATATTGGGCTTAATTGGTGGTGTTGTGTAGTAAAAGTGGGGTGTAGCATTTAGGCCCAATTGGATTTATTTGGATTAATATAATAATATATTTTATTAGAATATAAGAAATAGGATAGGGTTAGTTGTATCAGGAAGAAAAGAACAAAGAGGAAAAATAGGGTTTGGGAGAGGAGAAGAAGAACAAGAGGAAATTTCTTCAAGTGCCAAATTCCCAAAAAAAAATTCGGTTGAAATCTCTTAGAGCCGCTCTTAATCCAAGGTAAGGGTGGAGTTCTGACTCTATAATAGGGTGTATGATTAATAGTATGTGAATTTGGGTTATGAAAATTATTTCTAATTGTGTTTGAAATTGGTATATTGATGAAATTGAGAGATGATTTAGGACTCAATATAATTAGATATACATATATTTAAGTACCTTAATATTTTCTTTGAGAAAATTCCAATTATCTGCATACTGTAGCCCATAGAAAGTGTAGTAGCATCTAAAGGTACTTGCCCTGCCTACTGTAGCGATATTAGGAAGTTATATTTGATGGCATTTGGCTTGCTACTGTAGCGCAAGGAATAAAGTAGTACTAGAGAGGAGTAGCTTGCTACTGTAGCAAATTCCTTCATCATATACTACTTTCTGTAGCATTATTTTGATGTGCACTGTATTCATGAATCACTCTATTTTGGAAGTTATTTTGTCATTTAAAGATTATTATGATAATGAATAAAGGAATCACGTTTGGTTACTAAATGATGGTGTAGTGTTCTTTTGATTTACGTGAAAATCCTAGAGAATTATTAATATACTACCTTTGGGATTTAGTTGAATTAAGATATGCTATAGACTTTTGAGTACCAGAGGAACCTTGTTTAATGCATACCGCTTCCAAGTTGTAGCCTTGTGAACTTAGTGAGTCAATTATACAAGTTTGATCAAGACAAAGTTACTAGTTCCCAGGTTGTAGTTTTCCGAATATTATAAAATATGAGTATGGTTTTGATGACATATATATGAGTTTGAGTTAGAGATAAATAATTTAAGTTAATTGCAATTTCGTTAAATTTATTAATAGAATTTTTGGCCGATAATTAATTAATCAATTTTAGTTGAAATAGTCCGAATAATTATGCGGTTTATGTGTAGTAATTTTTAGTTAATCTGTTGGGTGGTGTTTTTGTTGAAAATGTGAATTGCATGTGATTTCATTGCCTCTATTTATGGACAAAATATTAAGTTGCGGGCTTATAGTCAATGTTGAATTAATTTGAATTATTGTTATTGTTGTTATTACGTTCATGTCGTTAATGCACATATAGCATATCATGTTGGAGCTGATACTCGTCAAGTTGACCTGGATTGGTAAAAATAAAGTTGAAGGCTTATGCCTTGTTGATGCCTCTATTTATTGGCAGATTTCTAAGTTGGGAGTTCTGCTCCATTGGTACCACATGTATGTGCATAAAGACGAGTCGCATTTCATGTTGCATTCTGAGTTGTCGTGTAGATGAATTAATTATGTTGAATATTGATAAAAAGCTGTGAAGTGGTGAATTTCATGATCTAATACTAATATATTATTTATTGTATACCCGATTATATGGTTCGATATCTCACTCCTTCTGTTTGAATGTTGCCCTCTGTTGGTAACGTGTAGATAATCAAGAAGGTTAGGTGTTACCCTCGTTAGTTCGAGTCCGTGTTGTCGCTCTAATACATAGCACTCGGGGGGATGGACACATGTTTTCTTTATTGTTGATTTTCATTGTTTTGCTGAATTTTTTAGTTGTTTTTATTAAAAGACTTGTTGTCTTAGAATTGTTTTGAGTTGGATAAGATGTTATGGTGTTTTCAGTTGAATTTTGTGAATCCGCTGCGTAGTAATGAAAGTTGTTTTTATTTTTTAAAGACTAAGCAGGTTGTTATAGGTTCATCCGAAGTTCATGTGTTATGTATCTGAACTATAGATGATTGAATGTCGTAGTTTTAAGTTG